AAGGAAACGGAAAAAATAATCTGGGGACTTCATCAATTTTTCATGAATTTTCATTTAGGCCAGAACCCCTCTTCCCCTGGTCGATAGATCAAGCTGCTGTCATATATTTACCACCTGGGGCTACAGCTGCTATCTCTAGAGGCTGCCACTGACACTGGCTGTATCCAGGGCAGCCACACTCCTTCCAGGGCCCCTTGTGCTCCTGCTCCACACCCCAGAGCACTTGTTTGGAGCTGAAACCCTATCTGCCCCAGCCAGGCCCTGGCTTTCCTGGTGGTCCCATCAGAGCACTGCATGTTAACTTCTTCAGTGCCAGGCCTCTTGCTTGTGGCCCCTGCAACTCTTCTAACTATTCAAATATTGCTTTTTGCCTAAAGATCTTTCTTGAGTTCAAGTGATTTGAAAAGCACTTTCTGCATTGCTTTTTATTTCCCTCAAACCAAGGGGGGAAAAAAAGCAACAAAGAGGTAAGCAATTTAAATTTCCACTGCAATAATTAGTCTGTATATTATTTATCTTCATTGCATCGTTCCATTACATAAAACTAACTATACATTAAAGGAAAAGAAAAATGTATAAATATGGTACAGGATAGAACAGGCTGATTTTCACATGACCAATCAAGACAATGACATTTCACATATCATACTAGAACAAAATTCAGTCTTTTTGTAATTAGAAAGGAAACTATGGAGAAGCAAAGGGAGTCACACATTTTCCATAGTGTTTTTTCTTTATCAATAATCATTTCACAGTAAAAGCTTTGACAAGTTTGGTCTGCTGGTAATAGGATACTTTTGATCTCATGCATACACCTAGAGCCATGGTTCCTGTCTACCTCAGGGAACATTTTACAATATCTGCTAACATTTTAGGTTTTCCCAACTGTTGTTGGGGAAAAATTTTACTATGGAGAAAGGCCAAAGATGCCTCTAAACTTTCTACAATGTAGAACACAAGCCTCCACAATACAAAATTACCCAACTTCTAAAGGCAATTGCAGATGTTGAGATACCCTAGTTTTCACACACCCCATTCTGAGTTGCAGCCTTGAAAGAACATACATCATTTGCTACTCCAGCTCCACTACCTAGTCCTTCTTCAACTGCTGTGATCTGTGTCTCCAGTGCTAGAGTCCACAGATGCTTTCTTGGTACCTGGTACTAGGTAGATCCACCAAGTATTTTCTTAAATGTATTTTGTTTTTCTTGTCACTTCATTGCCCATATCTTATCATACCTCTTCTGAGCCCGAGTCTCCTGCACTGGTACTTGTTTTCTTTGCTCCCTATTAAATACAGGGGTACTAAGCAGTGATGTCCACCTTTATCAACTGTTCCCCCTACATATGGCTTGCCTAAGAACTCACGTTTACTTTTCCCACTCCAATTTCTTCAACCTCTACCTGGGAAAGACCTCTCCTCTCAATTCCAGAATTTTGTTCTTTATTGAAATGTGAGAAATTTTTCCCTTGACATCTCCTTGGCATGCCAAACCATAGAGCTAAAGTTGACAACTATCCCTTGTGTCCACTGGTTATTTTATCATATCCTGTCCCTATGGATGGTAGGACTACATATGCAGACAGTCAGCAGAAATGAATATCTGGGAATCACACTCAATCTTCCCAAATTTGTCATAAAGTGATATGACATAAAATGTTAATTACTAAAAATGGTAATTCCTAAATGTGTTTCTTTTTTTTAATATTTTTTAAGAGAGAGGGAGAGAGAGAGAGAGAATTTTAATATTTATTTTTTAGTATTTGGCGGAAACAACATCTTTGTTTGTATGTGGTGCTGAGAATCGAACCTGGGCCACACGCATGCCAGGTGAGCGCGCTACAGCTTGAGCCACATCCCCAGCCCCCTAAATGTGTTTCTAAGCATTTCCTCCTATCAGTCTTTATAGTTTTCAGTTTGAAATCTAAGATGAACTCTTCTCTGAATTATTTAACAATTGCTTAACTCTTCTCAGACTTTACTCATCATCCCTTTAATATAATTGTCAATTAGCTTTTAAAGACTTTCCTTGTACAAAACACAAAAAAAGTCTGCATTTTATGAATCAGCTTATGCCTACCTTCCCAATTTATTCTGCTCACCAACCTCACATCAAGCTCCCTGCAGTTTTCTAAATACCCAGTGTTCTTTTATACTTTTCTTTTTATCTACCATGATGATCTTCCATTTCAGATTACATCCCAGACATTCTCATCTGACCTTCAAATCAGAGCTCAAATAATATATCCTCTTAGAATCTTTCTTCTTCTTCTTCTTCTTCTTTTTTTTTTTTTATGTCTATAGGTAACAGCCAGAATCCTCTCTTAAAATAATTTATCTAGAAGAATTAAATATTTTCCTCTCTGGGTTCCCATAGTATCTTTTACTTGTTTCTATAATGGCCTTTATGGTTCGTTCATTTAATTCATTGTAATGATATATCTACATTCATCTACTTCATATATATCTACTTCATCATTCCAAGTAGATTGTGTGCTATTTGAGAATAGATTGGAATATCTCTTATTCTTTATTATAATCTAACACCTCTTTTAGAGATTATCCACATTCCATTTACAGATGAGGTCTTGAATGCACCATGACTGACTGAGCAGTTAGTTGAGTAGTACAAAATATAAAGGCAAACAATGATATCATTTTCAGCTAGTCCTCCATCATTTTATAATGAAATAATTAGTTACCAATAGGTATCAAAAAATCACAATGCCTTGACCCAAATTTGCATATTAATATGTTTTATGAGCTACATAAGAAGACTGATGAGCTCATGGAAAGCACTAAGCAACATATAAATGAATATTATTTGATCTTGTGTTACCTCAGATGGCATGAACTGATACGGCACTAGAAGAAAGAATATTATTCACTAACTAAATCCAATTTGGAAGCCTTCTTATTTACTTCTCTAGATCATAAGTAAATTCAAGCATTTCTACAGCTCATTTATTTCAAAATAAAAAACGCTACTGTCAAGTTACATGAAAAAGAATCATGGTTTAAATTTTTTCCTTCTGAAAAAGTTTGATTCATTATTAATGATGCAATTAGGAAAGACAGTAAACCTTTCAGATGAAACAAAAATAAAACATGCATGTGTGTGGGTTGCACTTCTAACACAGCTAAGACTCAGGGAAAAAAGAAATCTATGAGTAACCAACAATAAGACAATTAGTTTAAATAAACCATAATTTGGGGAACGAAAATTAGTTGAGGAATTAAAGCAGTTATTTGCTTCTGGGTACATAAAAGGAAAAAAAAATGTTTAAAAAATTTCTTATTTTCATTTATGAAAAACACCACTGACAGTGGTTCTATATATATATATATATATATCTCACAGTCCCTTCAATTTAAAAATTAGAAGATTCAGGACCTTGTCTTAGATTTCCATTATAGCTTATAGTTTGCATATTTGTCATTAAATCATCATAGATTTCATTTTCTTTTCCTACAAAATGGGAGAATAATACCTGTCATATTGACCATAAAGCGGTCAGCAGGGGAAATATATCAATAGAATTTTACGTTGAAACATTTTAATATGTTTGAAACGTTCCAGAAATAAAAGATAAAAATGGAGCTGGGAGTGGTGGCACACACCTGGAATACAAGCTACTTGGGAGGCTGAGATAGGAGGATTACAAGATTGAAGCCAACTTGAGTAACTTATTGAGATCTGATCTCAAACTACAATAAAAAGGGTTGGGGATATAACTCTGTGACAGAGCAATTCCAGGGTTTAATCTCCAGGATCATAAAAAAAATTACAAATGGAAAAGTTAGGAATATTTGCATTCTTGAGGTTTTGCTTGTATATTTCACTAAAACTACATGTGCTCATATATCTTACTAAACCACATGATTATTTTTTGTGGTATCATTTTTTTGGAAAAAAATATCTGATGTACAATGCAAAATGGCACTAAAAGTTAAGATTCTATTGTTCATATCTCAAGGTTTTTCACACAAAATAAACTAGATCTTGGAATTTGTGTCATCTTTTCCAATTGGAGTGACACACTTTAAGCATCAGTGGGTTTTGTGGTAGAAACTGTAAATCAGAGGACAGGAGGCTTAAGAACAATAGCTTCCACCAGGACAGCAAAATAAGAAATAGTAAGATTTTCTTTATCAAAGATGCTCTCGTGTGTAAAGACAATTTTATATTTAAAAAAAAATTGAATACACTGATATACAACCTTTGTAATTCAGTGGGATACCATGGAGCACATGATTGATCACCATTACTAACTTTAATTAAAGACATTGGTCCAGGAGCTATTACTCAGCACTCCCAGCCCAGTTCTACTCCTTAATTCTCTTCTCTTCTGAAGACCTATTTAAAACCAGAAAGTTGAAGAGTACAATATTTTTTTAGGAAAAGTTATTGCCATCTTCTTCACAATTCATTCTATATAAAATTATTCCTAAGAACAGTTCAGAAGTTTTACATATATATGATATATATCTATATACACATACATATGTGTATATATTAAACCTCTAAATAGTTTATTAGTTTATATATCATATATGCACGTGTATATACAGATATATATATATATATATACATATATATATACACACACATATATATTCACAAATAATATACATGTACCAAAAATAGGTATGATATTGAATTTATCCCTTGAATTAGATGTCATGTCACACTGCAACTTTAATTTTAACATAGCCAACTTTAATACTTGGTTATATCTCCCATTAAAAATGCAAATTTTAAATATGGGCAGCATCATGAATCACCACCTTTAACATGAGAACAATCTCCACATTGATTTAATATCAACAAATGTGTCACAATACCTCTTACATTATTTTAATCAGATTTCCTTGGAGAAGCCAAAGTGAAATTACCTAGTACACTGATTCTTAGACAGTATTAAGCATCTATGAGAAACAATTAAAATTTACTAAGAATAAAGTCAATGCGCATATGAGGTTCATTAGGTTCACTTACATGCCACTTCCAGAGATGCATTTCGACTCACTGCTTCGCCAAGATAGTTCCTTGCAACACAGACATAGCTCCCTTCATCAGGTTTACTTCTGCGCCCATGCACGATGCGCAAGAAGAATAAGGATCCGCTGGGCAGAAGCATCCTGTGCGACCTGGGATCATCCTTGTCAGTCTCCACCCGCTCACCATCCTTGTACCATTCAATGGTGGGTGTTGGTCGGCCCTCTGCCTTACAGTTCAGAGTGGTGGGCTCTCCCTTAGAGACAATGACATCCGAAGGGTGCTCCACAATCCGTGGGGGAAAATCTTCCTGGCGGAGTCGAGATCCTACAAACATGACAGAACAAGATGAGCTTTAACATTTCCATGATGATGATGTTGAATTTTTCCATTATTTAGTTGAATAACTGAACATAATTGCTTTATTTATGAATCCCACATTTGATTTTTATGCAGCTCATAAGTCATACCAACTCTTTTGTAGAAAGAAACAACATAGCAATAACTTAATGTTTATTCTAGTAAGTTACATTTCCATGAATTTTTTTTTAAATTTTGTGTCACTTTTTATTAAGAGGGAACCTGTATCAGTATTTTAAAGGGTAAACAATAAAGAACTGAAATGTCAAAGGAATCACATTAGCAATCACATAGTAGACAATAACTCTTACACTGTCTTATTGCCTTCATACAACAAATGCATAATATTTAAGCAAAATTGAATTGTTACTAACTAAGCAAACATTTTTGCATATACTTCCTTCTCTTTATCTTTCTCTGCCTTTATCTTCTGTTTGACTTTTAGCATTTCTGCCTGGATGGCTTTATCTTCTGGTACAGTGCTTTGGTATTTGATGAGTCCATTTCAAGAGCCTCTAAACAACTGTCAATTGCTCCCTACCAATTTGACCTCTTCAGTTTACAAGCACCAATATTCAGCACACAGTTTAAGGCAATAGATTGCAGCCTGGATCCGTCTGCTTTCTCAGTAACAGCCTTTGAACTATCCACATATCTTAAAACCTTTGCATATTTTTTAATAGCCATGAATCTTGACAAGCAAAAAGATTTTCTTTTGGGACCAACATGTTGAAATGGGGGAAAAAAAACTTAATTTCCTGTCTGAAGTACTTACTAAGAAAGGTAAGTGGGAAGTGCTTAGAAGACAAGAGTTACCACTTACTGGGCTGGCACTGTGTTATCAAACTTCAACACAAAAGAGGCCAATGAATTATGAACAATTTAGCTCACATAATACTTGAGGAAGCAGTTTTGGAGTGGTATCAGTTGCCCAGAAATGTAGATGAAATTAACAGAACAGGCAACACATGAACCCAGGTTTGTCTGTCTGAGGAATTCAAGTAATAAGTCACCAAGTTAAAGTGAAATGTATTCTAGGGTGGTTCAAGAAAGCATTATAGGATAAAAACAAAGCTTTAACCCTAACTACAGCATAATAAGAGACCTCTTCCCAAAAAGGTGGCAGAAAGAAAATATGTCACCTGAGTGAAGAAGACACACAGACTGAAGCAACACCATGAACAAAGGGTAGAGCAATGAGATTATGCACATACTGCATTTCATAACCAGGGAGCAACTTGATGCAGCTGGTGAAGATACAACTGGTCTTGAGTATGATACAAAAGGGTGTGAATATCATATTAATGAGTGTATCTTTTATCCTATGTGGCTAACAGGCTGTGAAGGGGCAGTGACTGGACTTTCTATATTAGAAAGACACTTTTATTTGCAGTATAAAAGATGGATAGCAATGGAGGTAAAAGATGAAAGAATTAGTCAAATAAAACAATAAAAAGAATCTAACCTCAAGAAATGACGCTGCATTTAGAAAAATGGAAGCAGTTATAAAGCATATTATAATATAGACACCTGACAGAATTTTGTTATGTTGCCATATAATAAGAAAAATTGATGAGTATTGCTGTGGTCTGAATATGCTGTGACCCCAAGGTTCTTCTTTTGGAAAACTGGTTCACAGTATGGCATTATTGAGAAAGGGTAGATCTTTAAGAAGTGGGGCATAGTGGCAGGTAGTTAGGTCATTGGGAGTAACATCCTTGGAAGGAGTTACTGCTGGATTTGTAGAGTTATCTAGTTCTTCTTGCAAGAGTGAGCTGTTTTTAAAAAATTAAGCCTGCCTCTGAAAGGCTCTGGCTTTGTCTTTCCATTTAATCTGTCTCTTACAAGTGCACTCACAGTGCTAACATCCACCATGTTGTGTCACAGCCAGAGGCTCCCATTAGAGCCAGTGGATGCAGGCACCAGGCTCCTGGACTTCCAGGACTGTGAGCTGTGTAAATCTCTTGGCTCTATAAAGTACATAGCCACCAGTACTTAGGTACCACTGACTTCCTTCTGATATCAATGAAGGTTGAGCCACAAAGGGCTCAGTGAAATAAAAACAAAAGCACATGGTGGTACTTTAAGGTCTAGTTTTTGTACAGTGTGATGTTTTGGATACTTCAAATTTCTAAGGTATTAGTAATCATTATTTGTGGTAATGTTCTATAGCTTCCGCAAATAAATTAAACTGAGATGCTAAAAGGAATACCCATGTATGGGCACATAATGATGACCTAAATAAGAGTTTCTTAATAGTTTGTTCTTATAATTTTCCACACATTCACCTACTATGAATACATTTTTGATCAATAAACAGAAGTAATGTTTACTCCTCAAGTAAATTTAGTTCACTTTTAATACTAATTGGAAATGCATATTTTAAGTTAACAAAGGGAATTTAATTTGGTCATGAATAACTTGCTCTTGTTTGATGAGAATTAACTTTTAAAGTTTGTTGACTATCACTTTTTACCTTATACAGAAAAAAATACATTATAAGTGTTAGTATGTAAAGCAAGAGAGTAATTTACAGTTGACAGATAAGAATGAGGAAAAGATTAACATCAAACAGAGACAGTGGTGGGAGGGAAAGGGAGAGAGAAGGGAAATTGCATGGAAATGGAAGGAGACCCCCATTGTTACACAAAATTACATATAAGAGGTTGTGAGGGGAAAGGGGAAAAAAACAAGGGAAAGAATTGAATTACAGCAGATGGGGTAGAGAGAGAAGATGGGAGAGGAGAGGAGGGGGGATAGTAGGGGATAGGAAAGGTAGCAGAATACAACAGTCACTAATATGGCATTATGTAAAAACATGGATGTGTAACCTATATGATTCTGCAATTTTTATTTGGGGTAAAAATGGGAGTTCATAACCCACTTGAATCAAATGTATGAAAGATGATATGTCATGAGCTTTGTAATGTTTTGAACAACCAATAAAAAAACATAAAAATGAAAGAAAGCAAATGAATAAGTAAATGCAATATAAATCTCAATAATATAGGTTATGTATCCATAAATACCAGGTTTGTAAATCCAACAAGGCTTTGACAGAATACATAAAGTAACAATTCTTTCTTAATTATCAAAAAATCCCAAAGAATTTAAATCATATTTTGCAAACCAATAACATATTCTCAAATGGAAAGGTCTGGACATACAAGTATAGAATCTGATTCTAAAATGCATGAATAGTTGCATGTCACTTTTTATTTAACAAGCAATATGGTGGGCTACAGTCACCTTGTTTAGTATCTTCTTGTTCTTCTCTAATTTCCCATATGCAACAATCTATATTTTTCCTATTGTAAGATAATGTTGTATTGCCAAAAGTAAGCAACTTGATTTTCCACACTACTGGGTGGCTGTTTATTGTATCAAATAGTTCCCTACTATACAAGGCAGTCAGACTGGATAAGGCCTAAATAGGACATGAAATACACAAATTGTATTAAATAAAATGTAAAGCCAGGCGCGATGGCATACGCTTGTAATCCCAGCAGCTTGGAAGGCTGAGACATGAGAATTCCAAGTTCAAAGCCAGCCTCTGCAAATGGGAGATGCCAAGCAACTCAGTGAGACCCTGTCTCCAAATAAAATACAAAATAGGGCTGGAGATGTGGCTCACTGGTCAAGTGCCTCTGAGTACCAAATAAATAAATAAATAAATAAATGGAAAAATAACAAGGGAAAAATATCTAAAATATTTAGTAATGGATTTACAATCCAACATATTCAATGAACACACAGAAGAGTTTACTCATCTATCATTAGCACATAGGTACATTATGTTAAATACAGATTGTTAGTGTTGTCACATCAGGATATTCCTGTAGTAAATTTATTCCCATTATAAACACTTCAAAAGGCCACCTACCACCTATATGTAAGAAATAAAACTATCCAGCAATTGGAAGAAATTACAGAAGCAAATTTTCATGTCCTTGGGTTAGCAGAAGCTTTCTTGGATTAAAAAAAAAATAAGCAACAGAAATAAAACTAGACAAAATGGACTTCATAAAATTTAAAAATGTGCTTAAAAAAACAAATCAAAAAATGAAAGCAAACTCAGAATCAGAAAAAAATGAAAACAAATTATATATCTGGTAAGAAACATACCTCAAATATATAAATAATAATTAAAAAAAATAAATAACCAAATTTCAAAATGTACAAGTGGTTTTAAATTTAAAAAGAAGTTAGAAAAATAGCCAGTAAGCACACAGAAAGATGCAGGTCATCATTAATGATTAGGAAAATGCAAATCAAAATCACAATGAGAAAAAATTTCATACCCATTAGGTGGCTATATTATTTTAAATAAAAGTAAAATAAAAAAGTGTTGTCTGAAATGAAGAAAAACTTGAGAGCTTCATATATTGCTGATGAGAATGTGAAATAGGAAGACAATCTGGGAAGTTTTGAAAACACCAAACTTGTAGTGACCATGTGACCCAGTAAAGCTATATATTCAGGAGGAATGAAACCACATCCCTAACCAAAAAAAAAAAAAAAAAAAAAAAAAAAAAGAAAAAAAAAAAACCAAAAAAAAAAAAAAAAAAAAAAAAAAAAAAAAATTGTAGATGAATGTTCAAAGCAGCATTATTTATAATAGTCAAAAAAGCAGAAAAATTAAATGTTCATCAATGAACAGATGATGATGAATAAATAAATACAATTTGTTATAGCCATATAATAGAATATTATGGCTCAATAAATATGAATAAGAACTGCCGTTATGCTACAGCATGGATTATCCTTGAAAATGTAAGTGAAAGAAGCTAATCACAAAAAGCATATATAGTCCATTTTACATTTTCATCCATACAAAACGTCCAGAATAGGAAAATCCATAGAGATAGGAAGCTGATTAGTGGAGACTTAGAGCAGGGGGATGAGAGTAGAGTCAGGGAAAATGAGGAGTTACTGTTAGGGGGGATGGAGTTTCTTTGGAGGGTGAT